TCAAGTGGCGTGGGGGGGCGCTGAGAGCTTTAACTATTTTTACATGAACTAAAAGAGGTTTCCAGGGACTCCAGTAAACAATTATTCTGGCCGCACCACAGATGAATTATTTGTCTATCTGCTGATACCTTACAAGTAATCGAGACGGCCTTTAGAAATGTTTCCACCGGATGATCCAACTCGCTGTCCCATAGTTGCCTCAGTGTGGGCGTACTTCTTGACTTCACACTCAATAATGTTTGCCTGAAGTTCAGCGAGGACATGAGCAAGTGTGTCTCTGTATTCGAGAGCCAAATAAAACGGGAAAAGCCCGAATCATAATAGTAATACAAATAAACGGAGGAGTGCTTATGATACAAACAGGCAGGCAGCCAAATGGGCATCAACAAGGCCAGAGAGGCAGTCTCATTTTTCCTTCTGACAGAAATGTCTACAACTAAGTGTGTGTCCTTTAAGTGGAGTTTAGATTGTCAACAGATGAAAATATACTGTGTTAGCATTACTGGACGGCTGTTCCAAGGCCAGGACACACAAATCTCCGCTCTAAAATGCTCCTGCTGCCCGCATCCTACCCTCATTTTTAACAGGAAACTGCCCAGGATTTGATCTTAATTAGCTTGGCAGTAAGTAATAACATCCTTTGAGGATTAGAAATTATTGTGGCAGATTAGTGCGGAGAAACTGATCTTGATTAGGTGTGAGTGGTCGTACAAAACTGCTCTGATCATGTCAAATTTGAAGGTGTAAATTTTGTCGATGGGGAGATTTTTTTGGGGAGCGAGCAGCAGATGTGTGTCAAAAAGGGGGCACGCTTGTTATCTTACATTGTGCTTATACTGTTGTAGCGCTGATTAGTTTCACAAGAGCGCGTTTTGTTGTGTCAGTGGAATTGGATCAGACGTTCTCTGGGTGGTAAAGGTTGACTTTTCCTGAGGTACTTCTGTGGTCGACTCAATTGGGGTTTAGAAATGGTTGAAAATCCAAGACAAACTCAAACTAAGGAGTCTGTGTTCAACATTTTTCTAAATGATCAGAAATCCTCTTTTAGAGCATGTACATTGGAGCTTGTGTTCATTCGAGATGCGCCAGCTTTTCCAAATAAAACACAGACTTTATTATTTCACCTTTTCTACTCAACGCTACCCAACGGCTTGCTGGTTTTCAGATGAATTGTTTTTGTCTGTCTTCAGCCAGTTGTTTTGTTTGTTTTCTGGATTCTGGAAAGAATAATTTGTCGAGAAGTGCTGTCAAAATATTCTGACTGGCTGACATCAGGTGGAGCTGTTCCTTTTTAAATGAGCTCATTCTGAAAATATGAACGTTGACGATTAAAGAGCAGGCTTTGATAATTTTTCAGAGGTTGTGCCTGTTATGCTTAAAGAGGCGCTCTTTGTGATTCTTGGCCCGAGCCTTGTTTTCTGTGTAAATTACGTACAAAGAAAGTTTAAGAGGTGTTTCTCAAGGGCTCAACAGGTTTTTTTTTGCACTAACACTCCAGTGGCAAATGCACTATGGAAAAGCTGAACTATACATGAATCGCTGTGTTTTTGTGTGGTTTGGGGCTGAGGTGGGGGATCAATTGCCTGGTTTCTGCAGCAGCATCCCAGAAAACCCCAGAGTGGCCGGTCTGAGGGACAGGTGGGGAGCCACTTACTGCCACCTCAAACCACTGTCCACACAAAGGGGGGGTGAGTGGTTCAAGCAGGCCCAGAGACCCAAGACAGACAGGACATGTTCAAACACTGCCGTGCCTAATCCAGCAGAACTGCTGCCTTCTTACTCATTAATCTTAAAGGGTTTTTGTAGTTCTTTTATTAAATCAATTAATCCAAAATGCTGCTGCCAGAGTCTTAACTGGGTTAGTGGGAGACATCATATTTCTCCAGTTTTAGCTTCTCTCCATTGGCTCCCTGTCAAATCCAAAATTGAATTCAAATTTTTACTTCTAACCTACAAAGCTCTCAACAACCTAGCTCCATCTTATATTATAGATCTTGTTGTTCCATGTTTTCCTAACAGAGCACTTCACTCTCAGACTGCAGGTTATCTTGCAGTCCCTCCAAAATCAGAATGGGAGGAAGATCTTCCAGTTCTCAGGCTCCTCTCTTGTGGAACCAACTTCCAGTTTCTGTCCATGAGGCTGACACATTGTCCAGTTTTAAGTCTGGGATTAAGCTTTTTGATAAATCCTATAGTGTTGTCTTCTTATTCTGCCTCAAGTTTAGACTACTGGAGGACAAACTGACCTAAAATCCTTAAATAAATCATTAAAATTGAATAGTTTTCATTTGATACTATTTATATCTTAACATGTGATTCTTGACCTGCCATTGTGTATCTGTTCTGTTAGTATTTTATCTAGACTGACCCTGGGTTTTTGATCTGCTCAGAGGCAGATTGTAATGAGATTATGACCCAGTTCTGACCGGTTTAAACAGGGCCAGCAACTCTAAAAAAAAGTCTCCCAGGGATTCAATATCCTTCAAGGAATAGAGTTTTTATTTATTTGTTATTTCTTTATTGGCTCGCTGCACCACGTAGAAAGGCTTTTGCTGCACCGTATCATTTTTCCTGACACGTCAGACCACAAAAGATCCAATGAGATCACACTTAGTCCGCCCCTCCTGTCCACACTGATAGACTGTGCTCCTGGATGAAGGCGGAGCCTAGGCCCAATATATTTGTAAAGAAATGTCTCATCCGGCCCATCCGGTCCAGGATCTTGCATCGAATTGTATCGGAGAGGCCAGCGCTGCAAACTGTCATTTTTCCTGTCTTGAGTTAATACAATTGGTAAAACTTAATTCACGTTTCCTTGATTTATTGAGATAGTGTGAGTTATTACTTCAGAGGGAGTCCGAGCCGGGGGCCTCCTGACCTGGAGGTGGGCCTGGGGTCTGAGATAAGACCCGCAGGACACAAAAGCTCAGCAACAGTTTCTACCAAACCCCCGGTCGAAGCAGATGGTCACTTGTCCTGAGCCTGGTTCTGCTAAAGGTTTCTTCCACATGAGGAGTTTTTACTTTCCACTGTCGCCTTCATGCTGCTCAAGATGAGAGTTCTGTGATGGAATTAAACTCAAAGCAGTCTGCTCCTCAGATAAATAATGTTAAATGATTATTTTTAAATGTGAATGTTTCTGCTCAGTGCCCTGAGATGACTTTTGTTGTGACTTGGCGCTATATAAATAAAATAAAATTAATTAATCTGTTAGATGTTAGGAAACCTTGAAAACTCGTTTCAGACCTCTAAATTCCCACGTTATCTCAGAAGCTGTTCAGATATGAATGGTTCAGAGGAAGCTGAAAAGGGCAATGTTTTGGTCTCCTTTTCTCTCATTTTACAGGGTGTGTTCTCTTACAAACCTGCGCTCTTGGTGTGCAGCAGTTTTTTTCAAGGCTGAAAACTAATAAGAAGACAGAAAATGTGCTTTAAAAAGCGCCTAACGTAGTCTAACAACATCTAACTGGTCCCATAAAGAATCATAAAACCTTTCTTCTTCATTATGTACCTTGTTAATCAGTTATACCACCTTAGATGGGGAAGGTTTTCTCTGTATGTGGTTTTGCTGCCCTCTTCTGGTCATAGGCAAGTTCAAGTTCAAGTTGTGTTTATTTGTCATATGCAAGGTTAACACAAGGTTAACAGTAATAATAATAATAATAATACTGAATAAATAAAATAACACAAGGTTAACAGTAATAATAATAATAATAATAATGATGAATAAATAAAATAACACAAGGTTAACAGTAATAATAATAATAATAATAATGATGAATAAATAAAATAACACAAGGTTAACAGTACAATGAAATGCTCAGAATGAGAAGAACTGATTTGACTCCATAAAAAAAATTAAAATCAAAGAACAAACAAGAAATACTAAAGCATGCATTAAGGGTACAAAAAAGTACCAAAAAGTGAGAAGTAATTATAATATTTTAACATCCTAAAGAGAAATAGTAAACATCTAAAAGTCTTAAACTAAATCACAATAGTTGTCATTAGTGTCATGTGAAAATTAAAAAACAAATTATGACCTAAAAGTAAATCTGCAATAAAGTTGTACATATCATAACTGCAGCTTTATGCAACCGTTTTGCAGTTAGTGTCGACAATTTGCTGTTTTATTACATAAAGCGTCTTAGATTGACAAAAAGGCCTTTTCCTACTCAGCAGCCTGGAGCACCTGGCAACAAGAACTGAAGCTGTCGCCTTCATTTCTTTTAGGGGGTTCAAACATGTGATGATGTCATTGCAAAAATTAAGGCAAATATGTTCTTGTTTTTAGTATTTCACCCTGTTTTACAGCACCCTGATTTATTGTTTTATACACTACTCTTATTTTAACTGCATTTTACTGTAGATTACTGTTATTATTATTATTGTTGTCTGTACTTTATATGTTCTGGCTGGAACTGGTCTCTCTTGTAAATGAGTCCTCGTGGCTCAATGAGACTAGCCTGTATAAATAAAGGTTGAATGAAAATAAATAAATAAATAACCGCAGCTTTATGCACCCGTTTTGCAGTTAGTGTCGAAAATTGACTGCTTATTTCATAAAGCGTCTTAAATTCACAACATAAACTTATATCGCCTTTACATCACAGTAAGCCTGGTGTGATTTAAAATAATTAGAGTAACAACGCAGGTTTCCCCGGCTGGATTTACGTAAATCCCATGTAAAATATCGTCTACGTTTTGTTTGTTTTGTTGTTTTATTTATCCAGTCTACGTTTCCTTTGTGGCGGCGGCTTGCCAGGGTTTCATTCATAACGAGCCAATCAGAGCGAAGCTTACTGCGGCTCTTCGTCCAATAGCAGCGCAGCTTATATTATGGCCCTGTTTCGAACGCGAACGGACGGGCTGGTTGACCGGTTTGAAGCTAAGCTAATTTGTTCAGTTTACATCTGGTAAATGTAAATATTTGCGCGGGTTTTAGTCTCAGTACAGACGCGGATCTGATTTCGAAAATTCAAAACCATTCCTGAATGTTTTCGGCCTTAGGCTAACGAGCTAAACTAGAGGCTTATTTTTGATAAAGCGCTTCGGTGCTGCTAGCTAAAAAAAAAAAAAAAAGGCAGGCAGCGGGTAGGCGCCACTTCACTGTTTTTGTTTTTGTAGCGCCTTCTTGACCCAAATCACCGTCCTGAGCTGCGAGCAGCCAAAACTAAAAAAACAGCACACGTTTAGTGACAAATAAGCTAGCATGGCAGAGTTTCTTGAAGACCCGTCAGTCCTCACGAAAGATAAGCTGAAAAACGAGCTGGCGGCGAACAATGTGCCTCTTCCGAGCGGAGAGCACAAGAAGGAGGTGTACGTCCAGCTGTACCTGAAGCACCTGACGGTGCTGAACAGCAAGAAGAGTCCGCCTGCAGACACCTTCTCCAGCGACGAAGAGCTGCCTGCCCCCGTGGTGTCCAACAGAAGTCGCTCTGGAAGAGTACGCTTTCATTTTCACCGTATTTACTTTGTCTCCGTAATGTTGTGCTCTAGTAAAAGTTTTAACTTTGCATGTTTTATACGTTTGTGTTTTTCTACAGAAAGCTACCAGGAAGACTGATAAGCCTCGCGCGGAGGAGGTGACAGATCTCACTGATGAAGACCTGAAGCTGCAGCTGGCCAAGCATGGTGTGGACACTGGACCCATTGTTGGTGAGTTCCGTTAGGTGGCACCGCAGGGACTCCAAGACCTGCTCTGTCATTAAGATCAATCGGTTTGTGTGCAAAATATGGATTCATGCAACACTCATCAGAATGTAAGGGGAGTGGTGGCACAGAGGTTAGAAGATGGGCCTGTGATCGAAAAGTCGCAGGTTCAACTCCCGGTACCGTCAACATCAAAATGTGGGTGGAAAAGGTGGAACACCCACACCTCCCTTCACCCTCATTCGCCTCACCCTGGGCCGCTGAGCAAGGCCCTCAACCTCCACCATCTGCTCCTAAACAGGTCTCTCTTGAAAATGAGTTCTCGTGGCTCAATGACACTACCTGGATAAATAAAGGGTGAATGAAAAAAATATATAACTACAAACCATTTAACTCTGAATCAATGTGAGGGTAACTAATTTACAAAAAATGCACTACATTGTGTGTATGTGTGTGTGAATGTACTTGTTTATTTATTTATCTATGAACGCATAGGTACTATTAAATATTAGATACTATTTCTGTCTTAACATGTGATTCTTGACCTGCCATTGTGTATCTGTTCCTACCAAACCCAGCTGGTCGAAGCAGATGGTCGCTTGTCCTGAACCTGGTTCTGCTAAAGGTTTCTTCCTCATGAGGGAGTTTTTCCTTTCCACTGTCGCCTTCATGCTTGTTCAAGATGAGAGTTCTGCAATGGAGTTAAACTCAAAGCAGTCTGCTCCTCAGATAAACAGTGTTAACTTATTATTTTTATATATGAATGTTTCTGTTCAGTGCCCTGAGACGACTTCTGTTGTGACTTGGCGCTATAGAAATAAACTGAATTGAAATGACTGGTGTGAGAATCTGACTGTATAATAACCTGAGCTAACTTACAGTTTCAGAATATTAACACAAAATTTTATAATGCATCACAAGATTTATTTGCTTAATTTAAAACCTAAAATCATTTTGTTACATTTGCCATCTAAATAGTAGCACATGTTGCTTCATAATGCATATTTTATACGTAGAATAGCATGAATAGACTAATAAAAATGGTTGTTTTAATGCAACATGGCAAATTGAGTGTTTATGTTGACAGACACTATTTAAAGTCGCTTTGTTGACTTTTTCCTGCACTTAGGACAGATTTTAAATCACATTAGGATCATCGGTTTTATTTTTAACATTTTATACATAATTATATTTAAAATAAACAGTGTAATAGATATTGTCACCTAAAACACAAATTCAACAGGCCTTTTTAATCATACTCATTTATAGTTTATAACTGAAGCATTTGTGTTGTTGAGTAACATCAAGAGGCCAACGAGTTGTTAATTAGTTAGCTAGGCTTTTATCCTCCGCAGAGCCTGCAGTTGTAGGTTGTATTTCTTTTGCTGATATGCTTTTACATCTTGTTGCAGACGTTTGTTTCAAAACTGTTACCTTAAAAAAGAGAGGCGTTTCTCCTCCAGTAGATGTGTCATGAATTATTATCTGCATAATAAAGTGCACAGCCAAACATTAAGGCTTTTTAAAAGCCAGCGTAAAGATTTAGGGAAACACCCCCAAACAGAACCAAATGAGAAGCAACAGGTGGGGGGAGTGGACGCACTGCTCGATGCTCTGAGACCAGAGGGGTCAGACAAAAGTCTATTTTTGGTGTTTGTTAAAAGGCTTTCAAACCGTAGGAACGGTGTGACAGAAAAATGTAGTGGTTTTGTTACCGTGACTTTTTACCACAATGGTATACCTTGAAACCAGTTACTGGCTCCTGTCTGTTGTGACAAAATATGAATTAATGTAACACTCAACAGAACACAATAATAAAACTTTTCACTTTAGATCTGCTTGAGTGTAACTAATAAAATGTCAAATTTGCTTAGTCTGGTTTAGCCGTGTGAAACAGTTTTTAGTGATTATATCAAAGATTTGTAGCTCTAATAGAATACATTTGGGGAATGCTGTATTTTCTTGTAAACACTGGGAAAAGTACCTGCTATTAAGGCTTTAAGTGCAATTTAAATTACTGCCTACTGGGTTTGTGTGTATTTGATTTTTCTTATTTAGAATACATTTACAAGTATTTTTTTCTGTCCTCTCAGCCTCCACCCGTAAGGTGTATGAGAAGAAGCTGCAGAAGCTTTTGGACGAGCCTGCAGCTGAGCCGGACGCTCCTACAGATGTCACAACTCTCCCCAAAGTAGACAGCAACCAAAACGGCAACACCAACTCCGACCAGTACAGTGACAAAGAAGATGGTGAGTTCTGGTCACACTGTAGAACCATGGTACTTGAGGGCCTCTATCCTGTGTGTTTTAAATGCTCCTCCTCTTTAACATGCCTGCTTTGAATAAATAAGTGATTAATAAACCTCTGTGGAACTTGAAGACCTGCTGAAGAGCAGGGCAACGAATAAAACGTGCAGGATAAAAACGTGCAGGATAAAAACGTGCAGGATAAAAACGTGCAGGATAACCGCCCTCAAAGACCAGGATTGAGAACCACTGCTATAGAATATGCTTTATCTTACTACAGTGTGCACATAAGCATAATCAGGGATTTATGTAAATTCAAAGGATAAATACAATTTAGTGTAATATGGTTTCTCAGTTCTGTGATTTAAATTTCTCCAGAGGAGATTGCTGTCCCCGAGCCAGAGCCAGTTCCTGTGGTGGAGAAGCCTGTTAGGAGCAGAGGAAAGACTCCTGTCACCGTCAGAACCAGCAGCAGACGACAAACCAAAGTGAGTCACGTTTCACTGCACTTTTGATGTTGATGGTCAAAGTATAGTTTGAGTTTGTGGGATCATGTTTTCAATAACGCTGATAGGTGGTGGAGGAGTTTGTTATTGAGGAGACCCCAAAAAAGGCCAGCAAGAGTGTGGTGGAAGATATCCTCGCCAATGAAATAAGCACACCAACAGGCATGAGGTAACATTTGATTCTTCTTTTTATGCTTATTACTACATAAATGCAAGTTGATCATAACATTTTAGAAATTTAGCTTGTTGAAAGATGGTATCTGATGGTACAGACAACCACTGGACTGTTAATTTACTGATCATTTATACTGTGCAAGCTAAAAGTTGGTGTTTCTTGCATCAGTGCGACCTGCAGGCCTCCAATCAGAGGAGCAGCTGGTCGACCTTTAAAGCCCAGTGATTACTGGTTGGATGAGTCCCGTGTGCAGCGCAGCATTCGCACAGAGAGCCGCACCTACTCTGAGTCGTTCTCCCAACCAAGCATGTCTGCCTCCTCGAGCAAAGCCCCTGCGCGACGAGGCTTTCTCTCACTGGTGCTCAAGCTCCTGCTCCTCGTGGCGGTGGCCGGTTCTCTCTTCTATGTCTACCAGAACCTGAGTCCTGATCAGACCAACACCCTCAAAGGCCTCCTGGAAAGTGTGATGGTCCCAGTCCAAAGCGTTGTGGAGACTGCGGCCACCTCTCTGGGAATCAGCGGCAGTGCCACCAAGAGCACCAGCAACTAAAGACCCTCCGCAGTTCCACACCAGGCCCGGATCACCTCCCTGCCACAGCGAACCGCAACTTCAACAACAAACTTAACTCACTCCTTCTTTTCCTTAAAGTTTGGACAAGGGACACAAATTTAATTGGACAGAACTTCCTCTTGCCGGACTTCAACTTTCCTCCCACCACAAGAGGGCAGTATACTCGAGCAGTAGCTTCTGTATGTGGCAGTCAGAAGAGACTGATTTTAATGATTTTTAATCTGTGAATCGTTTGTGTCTTCGTGTGCATTTAACCCTCATATGTGGAGACAGTGCGAGCGGGAGAGGCCAGTTTAATCTGTGCATGGTTGTAGTACTTGGCAGTCATACTGTAGTTTTTATCCAACACTTTGCTCCAGGGGTCATGAATGCCTGGACACCAGTTAGCACTTAATGCCCTCCCATGTTTTTTGTTTGTTTATTTTTATAATTGGTTTGTTTTTTCTTCTTTTTTTAATCTTTTTCCACACAAGCGCTTCTACTAATACCACATTGATTTAATCTTTCTGTGATCAATTTCAAAAGATGCTTTGTGGTTCTAGAAGTAGGCAGAGTGACTTGTTTCTGTGGTGCTCAGGTTGATTAATTTCAGTCTTCAGGTGGTCGATGGTGCGAGGAGACGTTAGATTCAATCAGAACCGCCATCAAAGCTTCTCACCGTCCCTCCCAGAGGTTGGTTGCTTTTCAAATCATGATGAGAATAAATGTACAAATCGGTGAAATCAAGATTTAATGGATCATGATACAAACAGAAAGAAGGCGCTTGTTAGTATTACTGTGTATTTGACTGACTTTGTTGAGGGATTGAAAGTGCAAAATGTGATTTGTTCATTTTATTTTCTGTCCTCTTAGCCATAAAGCCCATCTTACGTTTTCAAGCTCTGGACTGTAGTGCTCTCTTGTTTCTTTTGATATCTTGTAAAGATTTCTGATCCTTCAGTCTGTACAGGACTGGCTGTTGCAGTGCACCCACATAGCCCGCCTCAAAGACTGCGTGTCCATGCAGTACGTCTGCAAAGACCACGCGCGGAGGACAAACTCCCTTCTTCTGCCTGAACAAAATTTAAAGACGTGTAGCTGAATTGGGTTTGTTGCCCAGTGGAGGAAATAAGAGATTTGCCGGAGGTGATGTTGGGGTGGAAGGTTTCCTGAGGTGTTCTCTTTCTATTTTGATATTTTTCTAAAAAAATAAAAAAAAATAAGTGGCGTATGCAGTTTTTATAGAACATTTTGAAGTAACCGTTTAAATCAACGTGATACATGCTGTTTATGACTCGGAGCTTTGTTGATTGATGACAAGTGATTGATCTCAGGCAGCTCTCCCACAACGGACAGATACGACAGGGGTTATGTGGGTAAGGATTTTTAATCTGTTTATTTATGTCCATGTAGGCTGTGAGTCATGAAATAAATTTGATTGTTACTAAATGTTTTTTTTTTTTTTTCATCAATCCATTATTTTACTTTCTTCTTTTTTCTGGGTCACTGGTGCCCAGCCCATAATCCAGTAGTGACGAGAGGTGGGGGACACCCTGGACAGGTCCGAGTCCATCACAGAGACAACTCATACACTGGGAGAAAACTGCACAGAGAGAACATGCCAACCACCCAGAGAGGTCCCCAGCTGGGATTTGATCTGGCAACCTCGCTGAGGCAACAGTTTTACAGTTGCTCAACTGAGCCATCGTGCCACCTCCTGGATCCCTGAGGTCCAATTTATTCAGACGCGCTGTATGTGACTAGCTACTAAGAGACGCATTAGGTTTTTACTGCACAGATCTGTGGGAGTTAGCCAAAGTTCTGAGATTATGTGAGTATGTTTAGTTCCAGTCGTCCCTTCCTCGAGTCCAAGGTTGGAAAAGATGTAGTTGAATGCCTCTTTGTTTTTGGGGGTTGTTTTACAGTAACATGTCCACAAGAACAAGACAAATGAGATGAATGTCATTTTGTTTGGCTGAACAACTCAAAATTGAAATGCCATAGTAACCTCGAGAGGAATTATGGAAATTATTTTTCATTTGTGTTTGTGCTTCTGAACAACATGTGGGTGTTTGATGTGTGCCCCGACCCCAGGAAACAATGTTCCTTCCATTTTTATGACTTTCAAAGATTTGAAAACCATCCATTATCTTTACTTCTTCCTTTTTGGGTCACAACTGGGTATGTAACCAGTAACTGATGTAACTGGGACCCCGTGTACATAATTTCGCTCCACCACATGTACCACATGAGGTGCGAATGACAATAAAGAAACTCTGACTCTGACAAGGGTCACTGGTGCCCACGTCCAGCCATCACTGTGTGAGAGGCGGGGGACACCCTGGGTCTCCAGTCCATCACAGGGACACATAGAGACAAACAACCATTCACTCTCTCACTCACACCCAGAGACAATTTAGAGTTACCAATCAGTCTAACATGCATGTTTTGATCTGTGGGAGGAAACTGGAGTACCCGGAGAAAACCAACGCATGCACGGAGAGAACATGCAAACTCCACCCAGAAAGTTCCTCTGGACAGGATTTGAACCAGCGTAGTCTGCTCTCTTAGAGGCAGCTTTACCAGTTGTGCCACTGTGCTGCGGTTTGAAAAATAGGTCAGTTTAAATTTTTATATGAAATAATATTTCACTCGTCTTGATCACCTCCCAACTTTATTTCAGATCATCACGTTTACTTCAGAAATAAAGTCCAAGTTCCAACCAGTGTTGGATTTACTATTCATTCTCTGCTGGAGGATATCAAATCTTGTTTTGTTTTTAATTCAACATAGAGTGTTAATGGAAAAATCAGCATGGAAATTTAGACAAAGCTCATGGTTTGAGACATTTTTGTCTTAACTCTGATGTTGGTTTCTTTAACAGATAATTTATCATCTATGGCTGCATTTGTTTTGGATTCAAACTGTTTTTTTAAACAACTTGCTGTTGTTTTAAAGTTGAAAACTAAAACTTTCTTTAGGATTTATACAAGCACCTCAAAAGACAATGGCTCCAAAGACCATCAATATGAGATGCCTTTGGTGCTGTAATCTGGACATGTTTTGACGAAAGAATTCCAAAAATATTTTATTAATACCTCAGGAAATTGTTTCAGCGTGTTCACATGTTCTAAGCAAACGGCATAAACGTACATTTATTGCAAAAATGTAGTGTGAATGTGTTTGCAGCTAAAGAAAGAGATAAAGTTTAAAGATGAAAAAATTTCAAATGTATCAAAATGCTATTTAAAAGTAGCACACAAGCTGAAAGTATCCAGGCTAGCCTAAAGTAGCAAACCCTAACTAAAAGCTAAAAATAGCAAAAGGCTAGCTGAAAAGCAGCAGGTTTGCCTAAAGGTCAAAGCAAAAGTTATCTAAAGCTAAAAGTAGAAAAAGACTACTTATAGCAAAATGGTTGCTAAAAACTAACGAGCTAAATCTAAAAAAGTTAAATCTGGTCCTCTGGACATTCAAAAAAAACAAAACAAAGCAAATCAACAAAATGTAGAAACGTTTCGTCTCTCGTCCAAGAGACTTCCTCAGTCTGAGGTGCTGTTTTCAGCTCAGTCTCTTAAATAGCACCTTCTCAGAGTGGATCAACCAGTTTGCTGCTGACAACCAAAACCAGCTGATCACATGCTCAAGAAGGACCATCAGCCTAACAATGGATCATTAGCACACTGATGGCTGTTTACTACTCACAGAGGGCTGAGTGATACTAGCAATCACAGCATTGTAAGAGGGGGACAGTTGAACCCGGAGGCCTCCACCCCTGTTTAACGATGGACGATTTCTTTTCACAAAGATGGCCTCCTTTACTCCTCTCTCAAACCATCGTTCCTCTCTGTCCAGGATGTGAACATCTTCATCCCTGAAAGAGTGACTGCTGGCCTGGAGATGAGTGTAGACCACAGAATCCTGGCCTGATGATGTTGATCTTCTGTGCTGGACCATCCTTTTGGCCAGTGGCTGTTTTGTTTCCCCGATGTAAGACTGATCACCCTCCTGACACTGAACAGCATACACAACATTGCTCTGTTTGTGCTGGGGGACTGGATCTTTGGGATCTGGATCTTTATTGAGCATGCATCAGGATATTTTGAACCACTTTGGCCAGGGTTGCCTCAAACTAGTTAGAGAGTTTGAGAAAACAGCAAGGAAGAGGGCAGACTACAGGAACCATTTGCGATTCAACCTCAGGTGTCGACAAAGTGGCATCATTCCCAAGAGCCTGGAACTAAAATCTTCGGTCAGCGGGCACCGGGCAAGCAAGATCCTTCAGAAGGCACAGACCCAGCTGCTGAATGAACGGGTGAGACAGACCAATTTTACTATTGAGGCCTTGAAGGCCAAAGAAGAGCACATTAAACAGAAACTAACTATGTGTCTAGATCAGACCACACTTCAGCAAGTGTTGGACTGTACAGATCAGGCACGCTTAGCACAGCATGTCAAGTCCAAGACTCGACAACAAAACAAGTTTAACATACTAATAACTCATCAACAACATCACTATTCCAATAACAACACATTCAGTGTAGGACAACACTCCAGTAGTCAATTACATGCCAGGGAGACAGAAAAGTGGGTGAAGAATTTATCTGACAGACAGCTCACCCAGCCGGAGACAGAGATTCTTGCCAGGGGACTGAACTTTGCGGTTGCACCAAGGACAATTCCTCTGGTGGAGATGATCACAGCAACAGAATCAGCCATCCGCAACAACAAAATTAAAGAGGCTGAAGCAGAACAGCTCAGATTCAAAGTTTCATCCTGCCTCAGCAATGCCAAACCACCACCTTCCAACATCAGTAGAGAGGAGAGGGACGCACTCACCACTCTTAGCAAGGACAAAAACATCATCATCCTCCCAGCAGACAAAGGAAGGTGCACAGTGATGTTTTGCCCCACTTCCCTCGGTCAGAAGGTTGCAGAGCATTAAGTGTAGAACCATTAGACTGAGGAACAGCTTCTACCCTGAGGCTGTTAGACTCACAAATCTCTAACCAGAATAACTTGTGAAAAATCACATCATGTTGCTGTTGCTCTGTTCATTCATACTAATCTGCTCACACAGACTCATGTTCATGCTGCTGTTCAGCATATTGTTTTAGTACTACTAGTGCTTAGCATATTTTAGTTTAACATTTTTCTTAGTTCATATCTTAGATCTTATGACTGTTTTTCTTTTACATTTTATATGCTTGTTGGATGTAACTGGGACCCTGTGTACATAATTCCACATGTACCACATGTGGTGTGAATGACAAAGAAACTTTGACTCTCTGACTTTGACATCATTATCAGGTACCACAGCTGCTCCTCATAAAGTTGCTCACTGCTCTTTACGAAAATCTTGTGTAACTGCTCCATGTTCTTACCAAAGTTTAATATGAAAAAATATGTCTGGTTGCTTAAAAGTTCAATTCAGTTTATTTATAAAGCACCAAGTCACAATAGAAGTTGTCTCAGGGCACTGAAAAGAAATACAGTATTCACAAACAAAAGACAATTAAAAGTTCTCTATCTAAGGAAGCAGCAGGTTGAGTTGAATCTTCACTTCATCACAGTCTCCCATCCTGAGCAAGCACAAAGGAGACAGTGGAAAGGAAAAACTTCCTGGTAACAGGAGGAAACCTCAAGCAGAACAAGGCTCAGGACGAGCAGCCATCTGCTGTGACTGGCTGGTTTGAGAGAAGAGGAAGGAGAAACAAAGACAGAATGGCAGGTCCAGATGTACTTTCTATAGGAGGAAAGACAAAAAACACATGTTAAGGATAGCATAACTAAGGGATAGCTAGGGCTGGGTACCTTTCTAAAAAAAATCGGTACCGGTGTCGGTAACTTCACTTCGGTGTCGGTTCCTGGACGGTTCTTTTTTCGGTACCAATTTTGTAATTACTATTAATTCTAACAAGAATAAAATACGTTACACATTGCAGTACATATTGTGAATTTTATTTTTTAACTTTGGTATTTCTATTCGATGCAGTTTTCTTATATAAAATAAACAAATTTCCAGTTCAAAAGACCAGTTACAAACCAGTGACAGGTCAGTGTCTAATGTTGACTGCTACACACTGAGGACCTTTTCACTTAACAGCTTTTCTTCAGAAAAATCAACATGTCTGTTTTCTCTGGACACAAACAAGCCTGCTCCTGGCTGATGGTGTCTCCAGCAGTAGGAAATGTTCACTCTGAGGCTGTAGATGATGATTGTTGCACACACAGATACCTGGTTGTCAGTTTGACAGCACTGACATATTGTCCCTCACATTCCACCAGCAGGTCACTGGATTCACTAAGGTTAGAGTTGATGTAGACTTCTGCACCTCTGTGTCTCTGCCTGAATCTTCTCTGTGGTTCTCTGGGGTTTAGGGCTCTGATCATCTCCCTAATTGACATTAGAACAAAACATCAACAATAACATTGTTGCGTTATTATTACTCAATAAACATTATCTAGGCTGAGACATAAAAGTTTAACTGGTCAACAAAATCCTTTACAGTTTAACTTACCTCCACCATGCAGCTTCACTGTAGAAAAAGCAGCAAACTTTTAACAACAAAGTTTGTGACTGTCCTGTGGCCCCCACCTCACTTTTCTTTTGTCCTCCTCACATCAGGGTCAGAGGTTCCTGTGAGGAGAACATGAACATAAACAAACAGTGAATATTAGGTTAACTGTTTAAGCAGCTGACTGGATGGATGAGCAGTTTTACAAGCTAAGATTTATCTGTTACTGTCAATCTTTAGTTAGCTTCTGAGTTTAGCTAGCCACGTAGATAAAATAAATTTAAACACTAATATCTTAAAGTTAGCGTTACATGGATCCTAGTTTAACTCAGCGATGTACGTGTTAAGCTGCAGTAACGTTAACAAACGTAAACTTACCAGCTGAAACACAGACACAGAGCTGTCCTTGGGAGTTCTTTGATAAAGATGAGTCCGCCCGTGGAATGTTGATTCCGTTTAACACACACAGACTGACTAACGCTGAGAGGAGGAGGGGGAGGCTGCTGTCCGTCTGTCTTCTTGCAGAGAAACATGGAGCAACTTTCTGCTTGTGTGTTGTTGGAGCCGTTCGACAACACGCGCTGCACACGTGAACCCCGTCTGTGGGCGTCACCAGCACCATAAACATACATTGTACATAGATTAGGTACGGCAGCTCTATACAGCTCTGGGTGTAAACACGTAGTCTGTTTCGTCATATGTCTGCATTGTACCTGCCTGCATGCTGAAACCACGTGACACATTACAGTCAATACCGAAACTTGACACCGAAAAAAGAGTGACATTTCAATCCATACACCGACCGGTGCAGTTCGGTGGGTGCCATTTAAGAACCTCGGTTCGGTACTCAGCCCTAGGATTAGCTCAAGAAACCCAAGCCAGTCTTAACTATAGGATTTATCAAATAGGAAAGACTTAAACCTAGTCTTAAAAGTAGACAATGTGTCAGCCTTGTGGACAGAAACGTAGTTGTAAGGATGGTACCTTTTTGTGGCCCGGTTTGTGTCTGTGTTCCCTAGTGCTCCCTCGTTAGTTCTATTAGTGCCACCCTTGTCTCGTCCCAGCTGTTCGTAATCACGTCTCGTCTTGTCCCTGTATATAAGCCGTCTGTCAGTCTTGTTCGTTGTCGCGTCGTACTCGTTGGGTCTCCTGTGTTCCCCTGAGTCTTCCGAGTTCCCTGAGTCTTCCGTGTCCCCTGAGTCCTCCTGAGTTTCCCGTGCCTTATCTTCCTGTTCATGTAAGTTTTGCTGCCCCGTCAGCCTGTTATTTTGTATCTTTATTTTACCATTAAATTCCTATTTTTGTATTCTGCCGAGTTGAGTCCCTGTCTGCACTACTGGGTTCGCTCCTGCCTAGAAAATCCTAACAGTAGTTGGTTCCACAATTTAGGACATTATTACCTGCAGTGTTCCCTCAGAGAGGACTGAACTAGGCAAAAGGGCCTTTTCCTCCTCTGCTCCTTTTTCCTGGAATATCTTGCAAAAAGATCTGAAGCTCTCGACCTTGACCTCTCTAAGTGGCTTTAAACATCTGTTAAGTTCCTGGCAAGAACCACTGCAAACATGTTCCTGTTTTTAGTTTTCTACACCGCCTCATAATCTAGCTGATTTTTCGTTACGTTTCTTTCTCCTTTTAATTATTATTTTGTTTTCAAATGTTAAAAAAAAAAAAAAAACTTAAATTTGTCTGAATCATTTGTGAATGTCTATAGTTGTTGTTGTTATTCACTGTTGTCATCACGCTCTGGTAAAACCCAGATCTCTCTAGTAAATGAGTCCTCGTGGCTCAATGGGACTAACCTGTTTAAATAAAGGTTGAATGAGCAAGAGGGGAGCCTGATAACTGAAAAATCTTCCTCCCATTCTGCTTTTGGAAACTCTAGGAACCACAAGTAAACCTGCAGTCTGAGAACGAAGTGCTCTGTTAGGAAAATATGGAACAATAGGATCTGTAATATAAGATGAGCCAGGTTGTTGAGGGCTTTGTAGGTCAGAAGTAAGATTTTGAATCCTATTCTGAATTTGACAGGGAGTCAATGGAACTAGTATCATAAATAAACTAATTTTGATTATTAATGTGTAGCTTTGAACTACCTTTTTTATTTGTTGTGCACCGGAATTGTGGTAGTAGCTGGCCTGGTTGAGCGCCCAGCTGAGGCTTTGTAGAAAGAAGGTGGAGGGGCTTTAGTTAATCGACTCCAGCAGGTTGATGAGAGCAGCAAGACAAACAGGAGCAGCACAGCAGCAGGAGCTTCTCTTTGACCAACACACATTCAGCTTCACCTCAAGTAACCGGAGCCTCACGACTACAGGTGAGCAGAAATGTTTTCATGTTACATAGTTAGAGGAAATGTAGATTTCTAGATCTTTTTTCTTTTTTGCAGGGATTTGAGTCAACAAATTATCTTTTTCAGGACAATGCATTACCAAGAGAACATGTTTAGCTTTGTTTTGCTCCTCTTCATTACTCGTGCTCTATTTGTCTTATTAATCTGCAAATAAAAAAAAGAAGTTATATCACATTTAGTCAACTTTTGGTCCAAACATTCGAAGTGTCTACAGTTTAATGTGAGATGGTGACAGTTTGGGCTGCTAATATCCATATTCACCAATGAAATGTGCTCTGTATCGGAAACCATAAAGAAATGTACATACTCCATTTAAATATATTAAAACTATAGTTTTTAAGCAACTATTTTATCTGATCTATAAATTGGAAATTGAACCTTACTCCATAAAATACATGTTCTAAATCTCCTATTTGTTTATATATATATATATATATATATGATATATATATATATATGAAGACAAAATAATGTGTATTGTGACTATCTCATCACTCTGCTGCACATATTTTAGTTTGGATTGATTCCAGTATAACAAAACTTGAGAGAACTGCAGTCCCTCCCAGCTGGTCTGGTGTTAAACCAGCTCAATACCTGCTCAGGTTCACATACTTGGAGTGCACAGCACATCTAAAGGCTAATCCAGTTTCAGATTAATAAACTGAATATATATTTTCTCCATTTCATTGTAAACAAATGTGTTGTCAGTGCCTTCTACCTCTCCTTACAGATAAATTACTTATCTCTTGATTAAAGCATAACAGGAACCAGTAAAGTTTTACCAACTGAGATGTGCAGAACGTAAAACCTGGATTAGTTTCAAACATAAATTCTGAAAATATCTGCAGGAATCAGCTGTTCTCGAAGTTACATGGATAGTCGGTGTCTGTAGTGCAGGTGCAGCAGATGGAAGCAGTGTTAGAGGATTACAGTATCTCCTTTTAGGAGTCAGTTAGTTCAGTCTCACATCCGATTACAGAGCTCCGTCCCCCATTAGAGCTCTCAGAGAGGAGGGGAGAGGAGCTCTGAGCAGCTCCTGCGCCCGGCCCTGAGTCACATGTGCTCTGCTGCAGCTCATTCCTGCCCTTCCTGTCTCTGGACTGCACCGAGACTGTGGGAGGCGTTGTGGATGTAGCCCAGAGGGGAGCAGGCCTTAGGTCTCCATTGAGTTTGCCATGTTGATCACATGCTGGTATCTGTTCCTCACAGCCAGGAGCTTCGCCCAACAAAGCAAGTATCGCTGCTGTTTGTGTGTGTGGCTGTGTGTCGTTTCAAGGTGAACTCTGCTGAGAGATCCTGAAGGACGGAGCTCAGTCGGTGGATTATTTTTACAGTTTGCTGCTTTTCTTTCTGCGTAAAATGTTTATTATCACAAACACACATCACATTTTTTTTGTCTTGTCAAAGACCAGCATGATGTCTGACCACACTGAGTCTCGCTCTGTCATTTATTCTTCCTTTTCTACTTCACAGCGTGGAGAATGGCTTCCATCGTGCACAGGTTGATCACCCCACTGGTCAGCGGTCCTCCTGAGCCCCCCAGGAATAAAGTGACTGTTGTGGGTGTGGGTCAGGTTGGCATGGCCTGTGCTTTTAGCATTCTGCTCAGGGTAAGAGCCTTCATGTTCATGCCTGTGCACATAATGACCCGTGCCCGCCGGCTGCCCTCACAGCATGTGGTAATAGCCAGGATCCTCCCAGACTGGCTCCAGATTACTGAACTCTTGGCATCTGATCTGGATCTTATCTCCTTAATGTTCACATCAGAGAGGGAAAAAAGGACAAACAGTCATGCAAACAGCATATTTATAGATTTTCTACTAAACTTATTTACTTAGAATGAAATAGTTATAGCAGAAACTGTAACTTTCAGCACAGTCGTCACAACAACTCTTTCAATAGGGCCCATAGATTATTGAATTATTCTACGGAAGTTGCACTTGTGTGAAAATGTGGTGTTAATGCCGAGTGATGATGGACTTTGCTAAAATTAGCAAAAGAAGATGAAACTTATCGGAAGCTTGAAGAAAAAAAAAAGAACGGAAAGAACTGAAACTTTGGTTATAAGTGGCGAAAAGCTGGCTGGAGTCTTTAGGTAGCAAAGGGCTCCTGAAACGTTAAGTGGCACAAGGCTAGTTTATTAGGTAAAATTAATTAAATGCTTCATACTCGCTCTTATTTTGTAAACTTGTGCTGTGGTGCAGTTGGAGCAGGAGTGCACCGCAAACATGTTTCGCTTTAAAACAAACACACTTCTTTTGTACAGTATTCTGCTTTTGTTGCTTTATAGAAATTCTAACAAATAAAAGAACATGACGAATGTCATTTGTTCCTAACGATGGTGGCGTGTGTTGCAGGAGCTGGCTGATGAACTGGCCCTGGTGGACGTGGTGGAGGACAAGCTGAAAGGAGAGATGATGGACCTGCTGCACGGCAGCCTTTTCCTCAAAACACCTAAAATAGTTGCAGACAAAGGTGACTATCTCGCAGAACTGCCAAAAAGCTTTTGACTATTATAACTTAATGAGTGTCACTATTTACTGTGCACAAGTTAACTCCACATCTTCACAAAGTGCTCTCATGTGTGCACATCTTTTGTGTCCACTTCCGCCCATATCATTTAATCTCTTGGAGTTAATTTATAAATGAACATAAACAGTTTGTATCAATGGGTTGTTCATATTTATTATTTATTCTTTGCACAGTTATTAGACCTGGATGTCTTCTGTCATAAGGAAAGCTCCCTGCAAAATAGATAAAAAAAAAAAAACAGCTCTGGCACTTCAGAATTACAAAAACTAAAATGTTTGGAAACATCCTCAACAACTTTTTCTACTTTCAGAAAACTTGCCATGTTCAATTAATTTTTTTTAAACAAGCTCGACATTGAAGCAACAAGACTGCGACAAGACTTCAACAAACAAACCGAGAACTCTAAACATTTCCAAACATTTTGGAGAACTCTGACAAATGTAGGCTGTAAAATGATAACCCAGTGTGATACTGGCTTAAAGCCATCATTGTCATTAACAGATTATTTATTGATTCATACAAGTTTCTGAAGAAAGATCCAATATTTAGAAGCTAACAAGTATCTTCTATTTATTAATAAAGACCTTAAGTTTACTGTTCAGTCCCTATACAAGCAGTGCAAGAGTTTGGTTCACATTGCCGGTACTAAGTGGAACCCCTTCATGGTGGGAGTTGGACTCCACCAGGCTGCTCGTTGTCACCGATTCTGTTCATAACTTTAAAGAACAGAATTTCTCGGTGCAGCCAGGGTGTGCAGATGATGTGGTCCTGTTGGCGTCATTGTGCCGTGATCTTCAGCTCTCACTGGAGCAGTTCACAGCTGAGTGTGAAGCAGCTGGAATGAGAATCTGCACCTCCAGATCTGAGGCCATGGTCCTCAGTTGGACATGGGTGGATTGCTCTCTTCAGGTCGTGGGTGAGGTTCTGCCTCAATTGGTTCAAGTATCTTGAGATTTTGTTCACGAGTGAGGGAAGAATGGAGCAGGAGATTGACGGACATATTGGTGCAGTATCTGCAGTATTGCAGACTCTGTGCCGGTCCATTGTGGTGAAGAGAGAGCTGAGCTGTAAGGCAAAGCCCTCTGTTTACTGGTCAGTCTACGTTCCTACCCTCATCTATAGTTTTGAGCTCTGGTGACTGAAAGAATGGTAAATGGACTGTACTTATTTAGCGCCTTTCTATCTTACCGAGATACTCAGAGCTCTTTCCAACACAATCTGTGTCCTCATTTACCCATTCATACAGCACTCTACTAGATCTCTACAAAGCTAATTGAACAAATCATTCTAAAGAGACTAATCAGAGCTTTATCACATTCATACACCGATGGGACACACATCTGAGGCAACGAGGGGTTCAGTGTCTTGCCCAGGGACACTTCAGCATGTGACTGCTGGTGGATTTGAACCCCCAATACTTGCATTGGAGGACGACTGCTCTAACCACTCAGCCACAGCTGAAGAATGAGATTGTGGATACAGGTGGTTGAAATGAGTTTCCTCTGCAGGGTAGCTGGACTCTCCCTTAAAGATAGGGTGAGAAGTTCAGTTATCAGGAGAGACTCGGAGTAAAACCACTGCTCCTCCACATTTAATGGAGTCAGTTGAGGTGGTTCATCTGGTAAGGATACTCCCTGGGCACCTCCCTAGGGAGGTGCTTTGGACATGGCTGACTGGGAGGAGACCCTAGGGAAGACCCAGGACACACTGGAGAGACTACATGTCTCAGTTGGCCTGGGAGCACCTTGGTTCTCCCAGACAAGTTGGAAGAGGTGGCTGTGGAAAGAGATGTCTGGACCTCCATGCTCAAGCTGCTGCCCCCAGACCTGACCAGTACAAGCAGAAGATGATGGATGGATGGATGGATGGATGGATGGATGGACCTTAAATTTACCCTGAATGTGTGAACAAATGACATGGCAACATGCTGCCTTCTGTCGTTCTTCTCAGATTACTCGGTCACAGCTAATTCCCGCATCGTTATTGTGACGGCCGGAGTCCGTCAGCAGGAGGGAGAGAGCAGGCTCAACCTGGTCCAGAGAAACGTCAACATATTCAAGCACATCATCCCCCAGATTGTCCGATACAGCCCTGACTGCATCATCATTGTCGTTTCTAACCCAGGTTCTGTTTATCTCTCATTTTCTATGTTGTTATTTATTTTTCTCACGTTATTCATCTTTAATGCTGCTAATATTTCTCCTAACAGTCGACGTTCTGACCTATGTCACCTGGAAACTGAGCGGCCTCCCTAAACACCGTGTCATTGGCAGTGGCACCAACTTGGACTCTGCACGCTTCCGATTTCTCATGGCAGAAAAACTGGGAATCCACTCCAGCAGCTTCAATGGGTGGATCCTGGGAGAACATGGAGACACCAGTGGTGAGGATCTGCACAAAGAAACTACCAGATTAGATACCAACAGATGATAGTAGTGCTGTGACTGTGTGAGCCGTACTGTATTTGTATTAAGGGTGACAATCACATTGTGTGTGTTAGTGCCAGTGTGGAGTGGAACCAACGTGGCTGGAGTCAACCTGCAGACGTTAAACCCAAACATTGGTACCGAGTTCGATGAAGAGAACTGGAAAGAGACTCACAAGATGGTGGTGGACAGGTGGGCTGGAGGTCATTCAAGGAGCTTGTTTTGTTTCTTCAGTTGTTCAGTTCAGTTTATTTACAGTCTATAGCATCAAGTCACAACAGAAGTTGTCTCAGGGCACTGAACAGAAACACTCATATATATCCATCCATCCATCCATCCATCCATCCATCCATTTTCTTTACCCGTTTGTTCCATTTTGGGTCACGGGGGTCGCTGGTGCCCATGTCCAGCAATCACTGTGCGAGGGGCGGGGTACACCCTGGACGGGTCGCAAGTCCATCACAGGGACACATAGAGACAAACGAGACAAACAAACATTCACTCTCTCACTCACACCTATAGAGACAATTTAGAGTTACCAATCAGCCTAACATGCATGTTTTTGGTCTGTGGGAGGAAACTGGAGCACCCGGAGAAAACCCATGCATGCACGGAGAGAACATGCAAACTCCACCCAGAAAGGCCCCTGGACTGGGGTTTGAACCAAGGACCTGCTCGCTGAGAGGCAGCAGCTCTACCAGTTGCGCCACCGTGCTCACTCATATATATAAAAAAGCCAATTCATAAAAGTTATCTTTCTCAGGAAACCAGCAGACTCAATGAATCTTCACTTTGTCACAGTCTCCCATCTTGAGCAAGCACAAAGGAGACAGTGGAAAGGAAAAACTCCCTTTTAACAGAAAGGAACTTCCAGCAGAACCAGGCTCAGGACGAACAAAAATCAAGGAAAAAAAACGTTCAAAGTGTAACTATATGATGTGGCCTATTAGAATACAGTTTCATACTAAACTTTGTCAAATAAATGCTTCAAAACTTTGTGTTTCCCCAAATTTGTCCCATAGCTGATTCTAATGTTTTTAATTACAGTAATTTCCAGACTGTAGAGCACACCTGAATATAAGCTGCGTAAACTAAATAAAATAATATACTATTTTATACATATATAAGCCACGCTTGTGTATAAGCCACAGGTGTTCACGTTGTAACATGAGATATTTACACAGAAATATATATTTTTTTACGTTTACTTAAATCTGTACCAGTAACATGCAAAAATACGTACAGAAAATGTTTTTTTTTTCTGAACAACACCTTTACGCTGGTTTAAAAAAAAAAAAAAAAAAACAGTAGCCTAACAAGAAAAGTCACTGAACACTTTTTTCACCTTTCATTGGTCAGATTTTTTTGTAACCTTTATTTAAACAGGTAGTCTCATTGAGTCACGAGGACCCACCCGCCAAGAGAGACTTGTACTGGGCAGCTGTGTGAGCACCCAGGTGTGATCAAGCTAAATGTTTTTGGCAGCAGGAAGCTTGTTAGCTCGTCAAAAAAAAAATAAAAAAAATCCATAAATTAACCGCAGCATTGTATAAGCTGTGGGGTTCAAAGTGTGTGAAAAAAGTTGCGGCTTATTGATCGGAAATTACAGTAGTTCTTTTTCTGCATCAGTTTTCTTCCATCCTAATCCTTCAAACTGTTGATTGTGTCCTGAAATAATTAAAAACTGAGGAGATATTGTAAATAATATTTTGAAAAATGCTAAAAATGCACTTTTCTTAGACCTGTCTAAAGCTTTTGACACTGTGGATCATAACATATTGTGTCATAAACTCTCAGAAACTGGTTTCTCAGATCATACCATTGGTTGGTTCTCTAACTATCTTTCAGACCGGAGGCAATGTGTTCAACATAATGGTACTTCCTCCAGTTATTTAACAGTCAACAATGGTGTACCACAAGGCTCAGTCTTAGGACCTACCCTCTTTACAATCTACATAAATAATGTAGGTAAAAACATCCCTAATGCATCCATACATTTCTATGTTGACGACACAGTTGTTTATTGTCGAGCTAAAACTGTTGCTAAGGCTTTCCAGCTTTTGAAATCTGCATTCAACATCATCCAGACTGATTTGTTCCACCTCAAACTTGTCCTAAATGCCGACAAAACCCAAGGGATGCTTTTTTCAAATAGGAAGTTGGTCCCAGCAGTTCTTCCTCCGATTTTATCCTCAAATGGTGTCCCCATTGAGTTTGTTGATTCCTATAAATATTTGGGTATCTTGGTCGACTCACATCTCTCTTTTAAGCTCCATGTGGAAAACTTGGTAAAGAAACTGAAAGTTAAACTGGGTTTCTTTTTCAGAAACAGATCCTGTCTAACCCTGAATGCTAGAAAACGCCTTGTATCTGTGACTTTCCTTCCTTCCATTGATTACGGTGACATTATTTACATGAACGCTCCTACAAGCTCCCTGCAGATGTTGGATGCTGCAGATGTTGGATGCTGTCTATCATGGTGCACTAAGATTCATAACTGGCTGTGATTATCGTACCCACCACTGCACCCTGTATTCACTGGTTAACTGGACATCATTAACTTCACGCAGACTCTCTCACTGGTACATTTTCATCTTTAAATCACTTCTTGGTCTGCTGCCTTCATACATCTCCTCCTACATGTCTCTGCGTGAGTGCAGCTACAGCGTGCGCTCTCAAGACATTATTACCTGCAGTGTTCCCTCAGTGAGGACTGAACTAGATAAAAGGGCCTTCTCCTATTCCGCTCCTGTTTCCTGGAATATCTTACAAAAAGATTTGAAGCTCTCGACCTTGACCTCTCTAAGTGTCTTTAAGAATCTGTTGGACACCTGGCAGGGTCCAATGCTGACATGTTCCTGTTTTTAGTTTTCTACATTTGTCTTGGAATCTAGCTGTTTTTTGTTTTGTTACCTTTTCCTTTTAGCCATCCTATTTGTTAAAAAAAAAAAAAAAAAAAAACTGTAGTATGCTTTTTTTATAACTGTTTATTGTTGTCGCTGTTGTCCATTGTTGTCATCTTTCTTTGTTGAAATCAGGTCTCTCTTGTAAATGAGTCCTCGAGGCTCAATGGGATTTACCTGTATAAATAAAGGTTGATTGATAAAATTGTTTTGTAAATATCTTTAGCTAATCTAAGCATGTTCTTTCTCTGTATTTATTAAATCATGGCTAATGTGGGCATTCTCACCACCTAGTGGTACGGCATGAATAGTTCAGACTTCTCCTTAGATATGTACAAAATGATAAATGAAAGAAAAGTTCCCAGTTAGGCATGATCGTTTGATATCTGTGCGTTGTGTTTTTAGTGCCTATGAGGTGATCAAGCTGAAGGGTTACACCAACTGGGCCATCGGTCTGAGCGTGGCCGACTTGACGGAGAGTCTCATGAGGAACATGAACAGAGTTCATCCGGTGTCCACCATGGTGAAGGTAAGATTTGTTCAATCTGCACATCAGGTTTCTCATAAATCAAAACATTACTGAATGAAACCAACATACTTTGAGGAATGAATATCAACCTCCACCTTGTGTGGCAGAGTTTTAAATAAAGAGCTCATCAGTTTGCACTCAAGTGTATGTTGGGGATGACTCTCAGCCACTACCACACCAAATTTATATATGTAAAAGTGACTCCGTTAGAACCACTTGTGTGTTTGCAAAAACTGACCAGCTTGAACTGGGCTGACTCCAAAGGTTAGTCTGGTGTAGAGGTATATCCTGATTACTTTATGAGAGTTCCATGAAATATTTTGCTAACAGACCAACAGGCACACACAAAGATAATTTTATGACTACCTGCCTTTAATGGTGGTGGATGATATTATTTATTTGTTTATTTATTTACTTATTTAACCTTTATTTATCCAGGTAGTCTCACTGAGTCACAAGGACTGTTTGGGGGCAGATGGTGGAGGTTGAGGGCCTTGCTCAAGGGCTCAGAGTGGGGCAAACTAGGGTGGAAGCAGGTCCACCCACATTTTGATGTTGTCGGTCCAGGGAGTCGAACCGGCAACCTTCTGATCACAGGCCCATCTTCTCTAGCCTCTGCACCCCCCCCCCCCACTGTTATAGTTTTATCACAATGTGTATTTTTGTTTAAATTAAATATCTGGTGCTAAGAAAAAAATACATCAGATTATTTTTTAAATATAAATTTCTAAAGCACCTTTCACACTAAAACCATCTCTCCCTCACTTTAATAAGATGAAAGGTAAAGAAAATTACTAAACATAAGTTTGATAAGTTGTTGATCAACAAAGAAACATTAATCCAGAGATGATCCCATTAAGCTTTCTATTCAAAATCTCTCTGTACAAATGAACTTTAGTGAGTGCGTCCATCCCAGACGGTCTGCTTCTCCGTCCACAGGGCATGTACGGGATCAGTGATGAGGTGTACCTGAGTCTCCCCTGCGTGTTGAACGGTGGAGGCGTGGCCAGCGTGGTCAACATGACCCTGACAGATGACGAGGTGTACCAGCTGCAGGCCAGCGCCAACACTCTGTGGGACATCCAGAAGGACCTGAGGGACGTCTAACCCAACCATGAGGGCAATAATAATTATAGCTAGTCATCTGCAGCACTGTCACAAACACCACACAGCTCCACCTTCTGCTCTTCACCCACTGCCTGGGTAGACTCAAAGCAAAGGGAGGTTGTCCCTGTCAGATGAGCCTGTAGGCGACAGTTTCTACACTTGAAGAGGAAGCCAACTGAACGAGACGAGTCAGAGACTCGCTTGTTTTCAGTTGTGTCAGAGCGTGGAGCCGCGTGTTACTTGTTGTTGCTGTGATGTGAATAAAACGTGTTTCCTGGTGTCCAGTTTCAGTCATTCAGATGGGTTCAATAAATAGTAAATGTGCTTTATTTGCAGTACTGCAAATACAGCACTTCAGCTATTACATTTAAAAATTAAAGGACTTAAAGGAATGCATATTACAATTCATCTTTCATGCCAGAGTTTTAGACTAAGATAATAATAATGTCATCACAATGTCAGCACTGTATGTTTCCATACAATGGCGAAATTAGTCTCTGCATTTAACCCATCCACCACCAGGTGGTGCAGTGGGCAGCTATTGAAAGCGCCTGGGGGCATTTTGGGGATGAGGCGTGCTGCCCAGAGACGCCACGTGATGTGCAGTGACTGACTGGGGATCGAACCTGGGACTTTTGGGTCCCAAGCCGGCTGCCCTGCCTCTACACCATCTCGGCCCCAACAATATGAAGATGACAGGTGGGGCCATTTTGGTTCAACCTTGAAAATAGATAACATTTTACATATTCATGTAAGAGTGCCGGACGTCATGATCAGCGTGTGAGCTACAAACACACCAGAGTTGATCTCAGTGATCAGAACACTGACTCAGACAACAATATTTGTGAAGGCTAATGCTGATTAGCTGTGGTAGCCATCTTGAATAGAAAAAAACAAGTTATTCTAATAGAGTATACATACACACACACACACACAAATATATATATATGTATGTATATATATAT